ACTGTTGTGTCGTCCTCGCCGTCGCCACATTAGGGGTCGTCCTCACTATTGTCGTGGTCATCCTCGCTGTCACCGTTGTGGTTATTCTTGCTGTCGTTGCCATTGGAGTTGTCCTCAAGCCTCTGTTGCCAGTGGTACGCCTGCACACACACGCCCCGGGCCTAGGCCATGCCAGTCGGCGACTCGGCATCGAAGATCCTGCGCGGCTTGAGTAGCGCGGAGACGAGCGACAGGGTAAGAGCTTGAAGAACGGCTTCAAGTTTTCAGTGCACACGCGCTCCACGGGGTGCACAGCCTGAGGGTGTATGCGTTGCTTGCGGGAGCGGGAAGTCGTGGGAGGTCACCTGTCGGGAGGAACGTGTGGGCGGGGGAGGTCGTGTGCAGCGCGTCCATAGTGGTGTGTCAGGTCAGGTTCGCAGGGGGGAAAGATGAAGACAGTACCTTGTCTGTACCGCCGCCCCATTGCCCATCCATGCCCACAGCTCCGCTCCCGAGCCCATGCCAGGTTCATCAGGGTGTCCAGCTGGCATAGTCTCATCTTCTGTTAATTGTCAGTTGGATATCGCGTATTCTCACAGGATCTACCTGAGGGCCAGGGGAAAGAGCTGAGTGCCGGGCTGGAATGACCAAGGGAATGACAACCAGGAAGAGGCGTAGTGTCCGAGTCATCGGTCACCGTGACGGTGCCCAAACTCTTGCCCAAACTACTGTACGCACGGCGTTACAAAGCAAAAGCGGGCTCGGGGGCGGGCTGGAAATTTGCCATTGACTCGGACGAGAAATCTTGACGCCCTTGGTAGCGTGATTTTGTATGGGATTTAGTTCCGATAAATGGACAATATAATCCCATTATAATGGCTAACATAATCAGTTGTATTGGATTTCAATGATATGTACTACAACGGGAATACTTCTGAGGCTTATCTTAGATAGGAATAATGTCAGTCACATACATTGGTTATGGAAATATTCTATGGGCCATATGTGTGAATAAAATACAATATCATCTATTGCCGTATTGGAATGTATTACACTCCGCGGTCACTTTTACTGATGGTATCCTCGCAGTTTCGCCTTCGGATCCGGTCTCAGTCAATGCAGGTGAGGGAGAATTGTCGTCGAATTCATGCTTGTCTTCGGTCCAAGTCTGCTGGCCAGCCGTGGCAACGCGAGAGCAGCTCAGAGAGCGGGCCAGGAGTACTGCAGGAGAAGTTGAGAGTGTCGTGAATGAGAACGTCTACTAAACGGAAATGTCCTAAATTTAGAGAAATGTCAACAATTCAAATCGACAATTGTCGACAGAATGTCGAGTTTGGTATTTTTAGTCGAATTGACATCAAATAACCTACATAGTAAGTATACTGTACTAGTGGTGTCAGGTGGATGCAAATGGTCACGAAGATGCAATTTTTAGAAACAACCTGAGATCTCCCTCTTCCCGTGGTCCTTTCTGCCCAAAAAAAATACAGTAGGTACAGTAGGATCTGTAGGTATGAGATCATAACAAAAAATAAAAAAATATTGAGAATTTCGACTCCAGTGCGACAAGGAGGAGAGGGGAGTTGTAAAAAGTAACCGCCCAGACCACCAGATCCCAACGATCTTGAATGCAGATCTGTTGGAATAGTGTGCTAAAATAGACAAATGAGAACACCCATGATAAATTTGGGGTGATATCGTGCATGCGATAGAGTTGTAGAGGGTAATCTCACCTTGGGGGGCCAGTGCGTGATCAAATTTGCATCGAAGGGTGAAGTTGGTCGTGCTCCCTAGCAGCCAAAAAAAGAAAAAAGCAAAAATCACCATTGAACAGTATATCTATTCTTCTATTGGTATGTACAATATGGAGTAGCTATGATGTGTTGTTGAAGCTACAGAAAATAAAAAGTCGAATTTTGCATAGGTACGACCACACTAGTACTATGTCTTGGATCGGGGGTGGGTTTGGGTTTTTCCCGATACCAATCACCAGGGAGTATACCACTAGTAGTACCCCACCTATACACACGGGCCGCCTCTACCTAAACAGATTCAGATTCAGAGATGACGGGAAAAGAAGAAGCGTCAGAAGACGCCGAGAAGATGTCGACGGCTACGGCGACAATCTGGGTTGGGGAATGGAATGATGAGCACGACGAGGCGTTGAAGCCGGCCCGGGCAGTCCGCTACCAACGACTAAGTATTGCAACCAGTCTCTCAAAGTCGGGCGACCCGAGGCCCGTGACCTGTAGAGTTCAGAGTGAGCCAACGTTGAATAATAAGACAGAACTATGGCTAGGCGCACAGGATCCCACCCAGGGACTGCGGAGAATCCATCAGTATTGCAGCCCGGATTCGACCCAAATGTGATGTCATTCAGACCGGGGAGGCATACACCATATAGCCAGATGTTGAGGAAGCCGAGTGGCGGCCTGCCGATCGAAATGCGGTAGTCATTCAGCAGGGAGATGATTCCCGCCGCAGTCTGTACGTCGGCAATTAGGCATGCAGAAATAAGAGAGCTCAAGTGTCGCACCGGCGTCGAGCAGCTGGTGCCACCACTCGTCCAGGTCTCCTCGTTGAGGACGATGCGGAAGTCAATTGCCTGTAAGGCGATATCGGGAATGCCACGTCCCCCAGGGCTGCACAAAGAACACAAATTGAGAATGAGGCACCGGGTCACGGTAGCGAACGCACTTGTAAAAGCCGCTATACCGACCGCCGAGGTTCAAGAGGAAGGTGGGCACAACATTATTCTGATATGTCGGCCGTGGAAAATACACCGAGAAGCCTCCACCAGAGAGACTCGCCGCAACCTCGGGGTTGTAGCCCGTCGTTCCGCCAACACTGGTGACCCAGGGACCTGCGAGTACCGTGGACGGTGTGATGAGTGGTCCACCAACGCTTGTTTGCTACTCAAAGGTAGAGTTAAAATACCAGACGCACAAGTGGAGGGGAAGGTGGGGAGGAACTGGACCCGCAAGTTGCCGGAGTTGTCTTGGAACAGGCAGTCCCCACCACCAACACCGTCGTTGCCGCTCGAGAAGAGGACGCTGGCGCCTCGAACGCCGAGCTGCGCGAACAGACTGCACACATACGTTGCATGATCCGGTGGAACTAGGTACTCGGGCATGCCATAAGGCGTGCTTACTGTCTGCGGGACATTCCACAGGCCGAGCACGTAGTCGAGCCAGTTTATGAACCCATCGCTCTCAGGCTGGGTCACCCAGCCGCCAGTGCTGTAGAATATATGCGGGGTCGGGTAGGCAATGGCCGAAGTATACTGCATGTTGAGATTCGCCTCGATAGTTGGGTTTCTCGGGTCGTACCCTCCGCCTTTAATCTTCACGACACTGTAGGTCGCCGAGGTCGCATCGGAGCGATATTCATTCATGAATTCCCTCAGGTCGTCAGGGCTCGGGTAATCACGGAGGTAGCCCGCAACGCCGAGCACGTTCCGATCCGTGGCTAAGGGCACGTATCTAGACGTCTTGTATAACCAACGCAGGAATGACGGCGTCACATATTGGTCGCGGCGAGACAATCCCGTCCCGAGGTCTCCTCCCAGCACCTTCGTTTGCTCCCTGGTTTCCCCACCGAGGCGCGTGAGTGGTTCCTGCCGCGGCATACGCGGAAATCCAAAGTGTGTGGTCGGCGCAACATTTTGCACGTGCTCAACCAGCGCCGCCGGGAGCCCGTAACTGAGCGTGCGGAGAACTGTATCGTTCGTCCCAATGTGTTGGTACAGTTGGTACGATGCGTTCAGGAGTTTGTTGGCTCGGAGCACAGGGACGCCGGTGAGCGTGAGCCAACTGCCGCCGTGTTTTGTTGAAATAGTAGAGGGGTGCACGCTGTAATGATCGAGCCAGGCATTGGCAAGCTCGAGCACGTCTGAAGGTGGCGCGACTAGTTCGGCGACCTCTTCTCTGGATAGGTGCGCGCCTTGTCTTCCCGGGGGCGGCGGGACATGTGAGTACTACGCGGGCAGAGGAGTGGTGGAGATGGCGCACCTTGGATGGCCGGGACTGCTGACCTCTATGAGGGCATCAATCAAGGCATTCTCATTTTTGGCTTTGAGTGCAATGTGGAGATCAATGGTGGTGTCAGCAGGCGGGTGACCCAAGTTGCGCCAGTTCTCTGGGACAGAATTCCATGTGTGCTTTGGTCGATGATCGTCCCAATGCGATGCAAAGGGCGTGGCGAGGCTGCTGAGAGGCCCGGGGGCGAGAACGGACAAAACAGAAAGTGGGTAAATGCGCATGACCTGTGCGATGCCCCTGCAATTAATGAAGGGTAGAAGTTTAAAGAGTCCCTCGGGGTAAGACGCCGACAGCGTGGCCTGGGGGCGAAAATTTTACGGTGCATCTAGGTTTCGGGACTGAAACCGAAAGCGCCGCAGTCAGAATGGGGTAGATACATAACCGTATATCCTTCGACAGGCAGTTGAGCAGGGGTGAAGTTCAAAGTGAAGGTCAAACGTTCAATGCGACACTGTGACAGGGTTCGGAAACCTGTTGTCCCTTTGGTCTTCAGTACTTCAGTAGCGGCTGATAGTATGGGCCAATGGGCAGGGATACTAGGGACTAACCTTGGGTTCCATTTGACTCAGCTCGTGTGATGCGATCGCGGACGTAGTAGCACCTCCTCTGAAATCGGCAACTCCCGTAAGAATAAAGTTGGCTACCCCGCCCCATTGAGTTGGTAGGCACACTTTTGGAATCTTAGATTCGCAACTTGCCTTTGCAGCAGAGGAGACTCGGAGTCAGCTGGCCAGGCCACCCACTGACAAATAATGCTCGACACCTTGCTCGACACAGCTTGACTGGGGCCAAACTTCAAGTTGAGTACGCGCTTGAGCCGCGGGGCAGCTGATTCGGGACAGTCCTTCGCTCCACATAATGCTTGTTCGATCTCGTTAGTGTCAGCGAGAAAGCATACAATAACGAGGAGACAGGACTCAGGAGAGGACACGATTACTACTGCAAGATTTTCATGACGGCTTGTATGCCTGCCCATTCCAGGCATTGGTGGTGTAGCGGTAACATTGGGTCTTCCCACTTGTCATTCGACTTGAGTGGCCTAGCTCCGGGTTCGACTCCCGGCCAATGCATTTTGTTTTCGCCCCCCAAGACATCGTCAAAGTCGACTCGGACCTTCTTCAATAGTTGCCGGATTGCATTAGTGTTCCTACTTTATTTTTTTCTTATCATAGACTTTTTCCTGCGCTCCTACCTAGCTAGATCTTCAATTTCCATATTTTTTGTTACTATAATCGCTGCAAACCTTGATAGAAACCTTGATAGAAACAGAAAGTAGTGTGTTCAAAGTGTGTTGGATTTGCGTGAGTGAATATCAAGACCGTTGAGTACTCCCTGTGGGAAGTCCATAGTTTTTTTTGAATAAGTTCGATTAAATGTTTTTTTTGTGACTCCGTTCGATCTGGGCCGATTCTCACAAGGCCCACATGTGGGAAGCCCTTGAATCAATTTGATTAACTTAGGCGTTATAATATTTTGTGGCTGTGTTCGACTTGTGCCGATTTTGACCGTCCTGAATCGATGTCTCGAATCTGCGTGTGTGTAGCGTTTACCACGAACGCTTGCCTGACTTAGGCTTCGGAGTGAGTGGCGATCCTCTTAAGGACGTAGTTGCGATTGACTCTGGTTTGAGGGAAGTCTGCGGGATGTACCTGCAATGCTCCGTCGCGGTCTTCGTATCCGTGTAGGTCGTCTCCCAGGGGTAGTAGCGGTGGAGGGGTGGCGACTATGCGTAGGTCGTCCCAAGTGTCGTGATCGACAACGTATAAGGAGGTGTAAGGGGAGGCGACACGTGGGTTGAGGTATAGGTAGACTCGATGACAAGTGCTGCCGATGGGGTAGTTGTCCACTGTTCACGAAGGGACTAAGTCACGAGGGATCCCTTGGTCTAGGAGGGATATGTCGGACAACTCACTTCAAGGGGGAGGGCCCTATAGAGCGAAGAACTGGTAGTGGTATTGGAAGAAGACCAAGATGCCGTTCTTGGTCTTCGCAGTACTCTACTTATACAGATACGCGCGGGCTTTCAAGCGCCGCTTCAAGAAGTACTAGCCAATAGCGTAAGTAGAGCAAACCCTAGTACAGCTATCCTAGCATGAGTCACCTCGAGTCATGATCCGATCCGTTATCGTACACAATCACATGTGCCGGAGCTTACCCGGCTGACTGATCCTAACAAGTCCATGACGATATACTGCTGACGCGGTGTCATACCCGTGACGTCAGTGTCCACTTCCGGTCCGAACGTAACAGTGCGTGACTCTAAGTCTATGCGCCTCAGGCTTGCTATATACCAAACCCTTTCCAATGACAAGTCGTAAGCGTCGTAGGCCACAAGACCAACTTCAGCAAGATTACCAATTTGGCGAATTCCTCCGCGCCAGTGGGATTGAAACCAGGCCAGTTGGGGGATTCCAGGACTTGGAGCGCAGGCGGCGCTTGACCGACTCGGAGGAACATTCGACTCAACGCCTACGGAAACAAAAGGTCTTTCGACTGTTTACTTTCCGTTGGCTTTGATGAGAACATCCTTGTCTAGTCCGCTCTGCGCAAGCCTGAGCCTGGTCCAAGTAACTCTGTGAACGATCTGGCACGCACTGGCAGCTTTCCGTCTACACCTTTGGATTCCACCAACTTTGATGTATCTCAGGCTGAGGGTTCTGTGTCTGGTCGTGATACCACTGGGGTCTCTGTTGTAGGGCACGGCATGGCTGGGCCTTCTGGTGCGGATGCTGGTGACGATGAACCTATACACCCTGACTTGGATCCCATTGGCAAGCACAGTGAAGAGCACATAATCCACATGCCCGATCTCCAGACGACGCAAGAGTTTATTGATCTCTTGAGGTCATCTGTTCTTGAGGACACTGGTATGCTCGCTGAGGACATCGAGAGCCTGCGGAACCCTGAGCCAGGCTATGAATTTGTAGATTCGTCGCCACTTCTGTGATCTCTGCGACATTTTATCAACAATGCCACTGCTTCTCGGTCTCACTACGACAGGATATGGGTCATCGAAAGGCTGCATCGACCCGATGATCCGATTATGTCTTTTGATCAGGTGAAGCGCCGTGTTCGCTGGCTGTCTGGTGTCGTGCCTATAGAGCACGATATGTGTGTGAATTCCTGTGTGGCCTTTGTTGGACCATACAGAATCCTTGAGGCCTGTCCTCGCTGCAGCGAACCTCGGTACAGTCCTGGGACTACGAAGCCTCAGAAATGTTTCACTACGATTCCAGTTGGGCCAGTCATCCAAGCCCTGTACAGCTCTCACAAACTTGCCGATAAAATGCACTACCTTGAGAAGAAGCTTACGGAAAACTCAGAGCACGTGAGACTCAACGGTGGCAGGCTCGATGGCTATGATGACATAGCTTCTGGACAGGCATTGCTCGACGCTTGGAACAAAGGCGATCTCAAAAGCGGCGACGTCGCGTTACAGTTCTTGATTGATGGTGCCCAGCTTCGCGCCGACCGGCCCTCTGAGGCCTGGTTTTTTATCTGGGTCATTCACAACCTCCCACCAGGTATGCGATACAAGAAGGCGTTCGTGTTACGTTTGGCCCGGAAGTGGACACTGACGTCAAGGGTATGACACCGCGTCAGCAGTATATCGTCATGGACTTGTTAGGATCAGTCAGCCGGGTAAGCTCCGGCACATGTGATTGTGTACGATAACGGATCGGATCATGACTCGATGTGACTCATACTAGGATAGCTGTACTAGGGTTTGCTCTACTTACGCTATTGGCTAGTACTTCTTGGAGCGGCGCTTGAAAGCCCGCGCGTATCTGTATAAGTAGAGTACTGCGAAGACCAAGAACGGCATCTTGGTCTTCTTCCAATACCACTACCAGTTCTTCGCTCTACAGGGTTCTCCCCCTTTAAGTGAGTCGTCCGACATATCCCTCTAGACCAAGGGATCCCTCGTGACTTAGTACTTCAGTGAACACCTATCCCGTCGGCAGTGTCTGTCATCGCGTCTATCTGTATCTCAATCCCCGTGTTGCCTCCCCTTACACCTACCTGTACGTCGTCGACCACGACACCTGGGAAGACCTTCGTATCGTCGCCACTCCCCCACCACTGCTACCTTTAGGCGACGACCTGCACGGATACGAAGACCGTAACGGAGCCCTACAAGTACATCCCGCCGACTTCCCTCAAGCCAGAGTCAATCGCAACTACGTTATCAAGAGGATCGCCACTCACTCCGAAGCCTAAGTCAGGCAAGCGTTCGTGGTAAACGCTACATTAAGACCAAGATCCCAACCGTGGCCAATCCTACCAAGACAACCAAGGACTACTGGGTCCCATTCAGACCATACCACATCGACAGGCGAGGAGAACGCAACGTACCAAAGAGATATCTTGAAGCCGCATTCTGGAAAGACGACGCAGAGATACCAGGCTACGTCACCGATTATTTTGACCGAGCAGGCAACCGACACATCATCCCCGTAGAGTTCAACTTCGAAAACACCTGTTGGACAGAAATCCGCTGGGACGACCTTCACAACAAATACAAAGTACTCCGACCCGCAGGAGAAGGACTTCGCCTCAACATCCTAGCAAGCAACGTAGTCACCAGAGACCAGTGGGGCCTTATCGACGGACAATACGAAGAACCAGTACGATCCCCTACACCAAAGACACCAGCACCATCTCCATCACTCGCAAGCAACCCCGAAGACATCTACATTCACCAAGACGAAGCAGAAGAACTAGCATTGGAAAACATCGCTAAGTCTATCCCAGTCATGACATCCACAATTACCCAAGCACCCGCCCAGATCAGAACTGCCCTTTTCACCCCACAAGATCAACCACGGCAACCGGAAGGAAACCCGCCCGGAGGAGACCCAGCAGACAACCCAGGAGGAGGAGATGACGGAAACGGAGACGACGGAGGAGGAGGCGACGCAGCAGGCGTCCCACACCCCGGGTTTGCAGACATTCCCCATCTCACCGACAGATTCATTGGCAAAGAGCCACCCACATTCACCGGCGATCGAGACAAAGCACAAGCCTTCCTATCCCAATGGAACCGATTCGCCCAAGTAAACATAGCCAATAGGAGCCTACAAAGCCCCTACATCAAAGCAATGATGTTCCTCACCTACATCCAAGGCCCCCTCGTCGACGAATGGACCGCAGAAACCCAGAGATGGATCGAAACAAGGCCAGACAGAACCGACCCGTGGGTATGGAGCGCAGTAGAACTCGCCTTCAAACGACAGTTCCGAGACAACATGGAACAAGAACGCGCCAGACTAGAACTGGACAAAGGATTCAAGATGACGGGAGGAGACATTGACAGCTACGTAACCGCATTCGAAAAGCTCGTTCGACAGGCTGACTACCGCCTGGACGACCCTCTGGTACTCGACAAATTCACCAGAGGCGTACCCCTCGACCTATACCGCAATGCATACCAATTCCATAGCCCAGTAACCTACCACCAATGGAAGAATGCTCTAATCGAGCAGCAGAAGCGATACCTCCACATGAAGGCACGAGTGGACGGATTCGGGAGGCAGCTAGCGCAGCGCCCCAAGCAACAACAGCAGCAACAACCCGCAAGGTTCCAACCCCCCCAAAGACAAAACCAAGGGTGGCAGCAATACCGCAACCACCCCGACGCCATGGACACCACACCAGGACGGGTTCGCGCAAGAGTCGCGGGATCTGAAGAAGCAAACCCGAACAATCCCCAGGAATGGAGGAACTACACCCAAGGAAGACCACCCTTCCCCCCTCGCGGAGGATTCTTTGCAAGAGGAAGGGGAGGACGAGGCGTCTTTAACACAAGGGATGTAACCTGTTATAACTGTGGAAAGAAAGGCCACTTCTCACGAGAATGCCAGCAACCACGTCAAGCACGCCAAGGGCCACCTCAGGGCAGGAGCGCATACATCGAGGAAGTACCCACCGCTCCACAAAGCGTCGCAGGGGAACCCCTCATCGACCTCGACGAACCGGTACAAGTAAACCGAGGTACCACATCCGCACAACAGGTGGAGGATATCATGGGGAGAATCGCAGAACTCCCGGAGGAAGGAAGGGAGATGTT